AACAAAGGAAACTATAAGCAAGGTGAAAAGACAGCCCTCAGATTGGGAGAAAATAATAGCAAATGAAGCAACAGACAAAGGATTAATCTCAAAAATATACAAGCAACTCCTGCAGCTCAATTCCAGAAAAATAAATGACCCAATCAAAAAATGGGCCAAAGAACTAAACAGACATTTCTCCAAGGAAGACATACGGATGGCAAAAAAACACATGAAGAGATGTTCAACATCAAACAATTTTATATTAATGTTGAAAGAAATGAAAGTTGGATATACTTTGTGACTTGTATGAGACACTAACGATTACACAGGCTATTATTTTTCTCAACACAAGGCACAAGGTAGACTGGCTCATAGAGAAAATGTATGGCAGGGACTTCAGAGTTGCTTCTCTGCCTGGTGACGTAAGTCAGAAGGAATTAGTTGTAATCGTGAGGGAACTCTGATCATGATCGAGTTGTGTTCTGATCTGTTACTGACTTGCTGGCTTGTGGGACTGATATACAACAAGGGTCATTGATTATAAACTATGATCTACCTACCAGTCATGAAAATGATGTTCACAGAAGTGGCAGATGGGGTCTATTTGGGAGGAAAGGTGTGGCTGTAAACTTAGCTATTGAAGAAGACAAGAGGGTTCTTTATGACTTTGAGACTTTGCACAGCACTACAGTGGAGCAAATACTGATGGATGTGGCTGGCCTCATTTAATTCCTGGGATGAGATGGTTTTGGATGCAGTGCTCACTGTTGCAGAATAGACTATCACAACGTGCATTATGTTTCTCTCTCCGGGAATATTTGAGTCTTGTCTCAGTGTTCATAATGAATCAGAAATAACAGATTTTCATAGCAAAGTGACATTAGTTGTGAGTTCTTATAAGGAAAGTCATTAGCTTTATGTTCTTTAGAGTGAGACTATTGGGGTTGGGTTTAAAAGACAGGATCTTTAAAAATATTTCTTTCTAATGAGCTGTCACTTTACACCAGTCAGAATGGCCATTATCCAAAAAATCCACAAGCAATAAATGCTGGAGAGGCTGTGGAGAAATAGGAAGCCTCTTGCACTGTTGGTGGGAATGTAAATTGATACAGTCCTACGGAAGTCAGTATGGAGATTGCCTTAAAATTTAGGAATAGGTGTACACTTGTCCCCTCCCTCTTGAACTTCCCACCTATGGCTGATTCGTGTTAATGTGTGGCCAGAATCAAGCCAATATTGTAAAGCAATCATCAATCAATTAAAAATAAGTATAATTTTTTTAAAAAAAGAAAACTAAAAAGAACTACAAACAAAACTGCCATATGTCCAGTTATCCAACTACTAGACATATACCCTGAGGAAACCAAAATGGAAAAAGATGCATGTACCCCAATGTTCATTGAACCACTATTTACAATGGCTAGGCCATGGAAACAACCCAGATGTCCATCGACAGATGAATGGATAAAGAAGCTGTGGTACATATGTACAATGGAATATTACTCAGCCATATAAAGGAACACATTTGAGTCAGTTGTAATGAGGTGGGTGAGCCTAAAGTGTATTATACAGAGTGAAGTGAGTCAGAAAGAGAAAAACAAATATTGCTTATTAGTGCATATATGTGGAGTCTAAAAAGATGGTACTGATGAGCCTAGTTGCAGGTCAGCAATGGAGGCGCAGACATAGAGAACAGACTTATGGACATGGGCAGGAGGAGGAGAGGGGGTGGGACGAATAGAGAGAGGCATGTAAACACATCCATTACCATATATAACACAGTTAGCTAGTAGGAATGGACTGTGTAACTCAGAACTAAAACCGCGCTCTGTAACAAGCTAGAAGGGTTGGGTGGGGTGGGCGGCAAGTGGGAGGTCCAGGAGGGAGGGGACATGTGCATACTTATGGCATTCACGTTGATGTANTTCATCCAGCCCAGCATTTCTCATGACGTACTCTGCATATAAGTTAAATAAGCAGGGTGACAATATACAGCTTTGATGTACTCTTTTCCCAATTTGGAACCAGTCTGTTGTTCCATGTCTGGTTCTAACTATTGCTTCTTGACCTGGATACAGGTTTCTTTGGAGGCATCTCTTTAAGAATTTCCATCTCTCTAAGAATTTTCCACAGTTTGTTGTGATATCATGTTTCATATTTTGAATCAGTCTAATACATGACAACAATATTTTTATTTGTTTCATCAATTACTGAGAGAAGTATGATAAATATCAATCATGATTTGGGTGTTTACCTTTCTAATCCTGTCAGTT